ATCATTTTACTGTTGGATTAGCTAGATGTAACCATAACTTCTATTCTAATATTTTCTTTTCTCATCTATGGAACTCTTTTCCAATTTCTTGTTTCCCTGTCAACTAGAATCTTCAAAAATTTAAATGTGACGTCAATCTTTGGTCTTGATCCTGATATTTTAAAAAACAATTTTTTTTATTGCCCTTTCTCATCACTAAAGTCTTCTCGTTCTCTTCCACTCCTAGTAACCCCTTGCATCTAAGTGGCGTTATTACCTTGCTTGGGTTGAAATGATTAGAAAAACAATAATAAAAAGCAATAATACTTTGAAAATAAATACATGGTGAGGTATCACAGAGATGAGGTCATAATGTGAGTTTTGTGTTTTAAGCATACTACTAGATTGGCTATTAGGTCTCATCATTTTACTTTTGAAATAGCTAAATGTAACCATAAGTTCTATTCTAAGAGTTTCTTTTCCCACTCCTCACACCTGCAGAACTCCCTTCTGGTTTCTTTCTCCCCTGCCACTTACATTCTTCAAAAATTTAAATGCACATTCACCATCTTCTGTCTTTCTGAACCTATTCTTTTATTGTCTTTTCTCATCCCTAATGTCTTCTCATTCTCTTCCACTACCAGTATCTCCTTGCATCTTAGGGGCATTAATGCCTTGCTTGGGGTGAAATGATTAATAATAAAAAAAATAAAAAAACATAATTGTAACAAGGCTTATGAGTGGTTTGATAAGGTCAAATTGGCAACTGATTTAAAAAATGATATACTTATCTGTTTCTGTCAAAAATTATATACTTTTCTGTTGTTAACTGAGGCAAGGAATGGCTTCTTAATTTTAGTGTCTCCAAAATGAATCTACTCGTCCTAGACTTCATCCGACAACAAGGCCTCTGATCAGGAGGTTTTGAGGAGTGTGGAACCACCTCTTAATTGCTACCACCCTGGGTCAGGGTGGTAGCACCTGTTAAGGTCCCAACTATGAGCAAATAGTTGTCCCCAAACTGGGGTGAAAACACTATGGAAGTGTAAAAATAGGTTTTAACACCATTAATATATTTTTGAAGAAAATAAATATTACCAACAATACATTTTTGAAGGAAAAAAATATTACCAGCAATAAAAGTCTTATTGGCATTAAATAACCGATTGAGGTTGATATGCCGTAAAACAAACCAAACTAATATATACTGAGATAGATAGATAGATTGATGGATGAAAAATATTACCAGCAATAAAAGTTTTGACGGTATTAAATAACCCATTGAGGTTGATATGCCACAAAACAAAACAAACCAAACCAAACCAAATGAAATGACTCTCTTTTAATCATCTGAGAGAACCCTTTTTAGTTTCCATTTCCAGGAGAATGGTTCTTGTGCCTTCTCACGTTAAGGTTATCAACCCTACATAAAGTGGAAAGATCATATAAAATCAATTATGTCTGCTGGTAGGAAAGTTGGTTCCCTGTGTTGTGCTAGATAATTTTTCTTGCCAGAATTTATCTTATATATTTATATTCATCCTTGCTTTGAATAGTACTACCACATCTGGTCTGGTGCTCCTGCTATACATTAAAAGATTCTTCATAAAATCCAAAGAATAATCTGCAATGTTATTGGTCTTGACCTGGCATCTGAGTTTCAGTCACTTTCCCACCACCATAACATATCTTCTCTGTGCCTTTTCTATAAATACTTTCATGGTAATTGTTCTGATGAACTTTCATCTATGATACCTAGACTTTAAGCACAGTAGTAGATTGGCATCAGTTACAGTTGAAATGGCCACTACATGTAACTGTAAGTTCTATGCTAAGAGTTTCTTCTATTGCACTTCTTGCCTGTGGAACTCTCATACAACGTATTGCTTCCCAGTCAATTTTGATCTTCAAAAATTTAAGTGCAATGACAATTGTTATTTTTCGCCTTCTTCATTCTTGTTCTTTTATTGTCCTCCCTCTTAATAGACTTTTTTCTCATATTATCTAACACTCATTAACTCCTTGCATCTTAGTGGCTTTATTGCCTTGCTTGGGATGAAATGATTAAAAAAACATCTTAAGACTATTACATCTTATTAGTACTCTTATATGACAAGTACTAGTACCAAGATAAATAAATTACTTCCTTCAATTGCACTTCTTTCCCAATGCCAACCCAGTATGATTCTTATTTGGTATGGCATGCTTAATGTTTTTCAAATAATTTTCTCCATGCCACATTCCATGTTAAGTAAATGTTTCAACAGGAATTTTTATATTAGTTTATTTGAACCAGCACACCTATTTTATAAGTTTAAAAATTCCAGCCATAATGGTTTATGATCTGGTCAGGCTTAGATGTTACTGTAACAGTACACATAGGTGTTGTCTAGACCAGTAGCTTTTCTACTGGGGAGGAGATGGTATGTCACAGGATAAAAAAACAAAACCTGTTAAAGGACAGAAGAACTACTTATAGGAACCAACACACACACACACACACACACACAGTGGAGTAATGGATAGCAGCTCGGATTGAGGAATCGGAGAGCCGAGTTCAAATTCCAGTCAAATCCATTACATTCATTTACATGCTAATACCTTTGGGAAAGGTATGAATCCCCCTCTTCTCCCTCCAGCTATGGGTAAATAGCAGGACAAACTGGGTTCTATAGCCTTGGATGGCAACTGCAAAAAGAAATGGCTACCTACTGCGGGAAAAAAATCTTCCACGTCAGTTATGTATCAAAAGATACATAATCACCTAAGCTTGTATCATGCATGGCACATAACTCACTGAATACATATATATATATATATATATTTATTAAAGACATTTTTATGTTTAACGTTGTTATTTATAGATACAAGTATTTAAGCAAATGCTCTGTTTTTGCTTAAATACTTGTATCTATAAATAACAACGTTAAACATAAAAATGTCTTTAATAAATAAATTGTCGGACCTTGTCCATTTCTTAATATATATATATATATATATATATATATATATATATATATGGTAATTTTGATATTAGTAGCTGTTTCCCTACAAGGGAACAGTTAACATTCATTGACCAGGTAGCCAGCACTGCTTCTATTTGAAATTTATTAAATCTTTCTCTTAAAGCAATTTTTCAGGAAAACAGGTTTTTCAAGTCCAGTAGCTGTTATTGCTCTTTCCAGTAATGATGGGATTTCCTTCCTAACATTTTATTTGAAGTTGTGTGGAATGTTGTTAACATCTTGATTATATCATTATTTTCTCTTTGAGTTACATATGCTATCCTTTTCAGTTGTTACTGCTGTTGGTAGTTCTCAAGTGATATGATTTCTGTTATTTGATACAGTTCTTTGTTTGTGGTTCTCTATCACCAATCTACAATGTTCAAACAAGGATGATAAGGCTAGGGTGGGGTCTTAAGCTTTGAATGGCAACCTTCCTAGAGCTGATGTCTTGATAAGAACACCCAGTGTATTTGGGCTACCATCAGTGTCTGAGTTGAGCATCAAGAAGAGTGTCTGGCCTTGTAAAACCTTACCTCAAATTATTATGACAAATCCTTTGTCAGGCAAGATTAATCACTGTCCTGTCTCCGCAAAAAAATATGACTGTGTATGTATGCATGTATTGACTATTTGAGATGGACTATTTATTTGGTACTTTATCTCTCTATATTTATGAGATGAGGTATTGTAATTATTTACACTACAGGGCAAAAGTTTAAGGCCACCCCTGGTAATTTTTTTAAATTATCCCAAAAGTAGTTGTTTTATACTTTAAATAAGAGAAACTTATACATGGCTAAAATAAGTGAGACATGATTTTTTATTAGAAATTTTATTATGACAAAAAGAAAAAAAAAGCATTTTATGATTAAATTTTGCTCTCTTCAAAATATCCTCCTTTAGACTACTGCAGCACAAATTTTTGGCATTCATTGCAATATTTCTCAAAGTATAAATTTGATAATTGATTCTATTCTTTTTTCAATGACTCTATGTTATAGTGGAACACATCTATTCTATATTTAATAGACTCTCCCACCTATAATAAGTAGGAGTAGTAAGAGTAATGAGTGAGTCAGGAAGTGAGTCGGTCAGTCAGTCGATGTCGGACAACAGTTAGTCGAATACTAAAGTATCAGCGACCACAAGATCACTCTGTGTTATACCTATTATATCAATTTCCTAACGTTTTGTACATCGAACCTATTTTAGGACCGACTTAGTACAAATACAAACCTCCACTGTGAAACCACTCTACAACACTCTAGGAGCTCTTTTTCCTTTTTTTTTTTTTTTTTCACTTTTTTCATTGTTCGGACTGTTGTCCTCATCTTTGTTGTCATATTCACAATGTTTCAGTCATTGTATGCTCCAGCCTTCTTCAGGTGATTGAAATTTTGAACTAAATCCTTTATTGGAATTTCAAACTGGACCCTTTATTCTTTTTATTGAAATAATAGACAGAAAACATCAGTGGAAAAACTTGAGGAATCTACACATATGCTAGGTCAAAAAATCTCCTAAGCCAGCCAAACATAGACATGAATACAATATGGGAACCTGTAAAACATTAACAAAAAATTGTAATATGAGCTCTGGTAAAAAAAATTGTTAATGAGACATTAGACTTATAAATTCCAAAATTTACTCACTCCCTAAAGATATATGGCCTAGTGGATAAAAGTACTGGTCGAGTAATCTAAAGAGTGACTTGGCACAAAGAGTTGTGAGTTCAATACCTGGCTACAGTAGAAGGGAACAAAAACTTGGAGAGGTTAAAGGGAAATGACTGATACTGAGGCATGACACATGGAATTAGAACAATCTACCCTGGTGGACAAAATAAAGTGTTTGAAATTCCAATCACCTGAAGAAGGCTGGAAAATGGCAACAAAGTTGAGGACAACAGTCCAAACAATGTAAATAGCATAAATAAAAGATGACTTTTTTGAAATGCTATAATTCACTCAGTACAAGTTAATTCAATTATCCCTCTTGTATTTTTTATTCCAGGCTGATGTTGTCAACTTAAGCAAAGGCAATGCTTATTTGTCTTTTACGACGGTGCTGACAATCTGGGAGTTTCTTCCTCTTGTTGCAGTTCTTACTTTCTTCCGTGTGAAACTATACAAGTCAAAGGAAACGGTAAGTCCAAAGACATAGTCTGGCCAAAAGGGGTCTGGCGTCAGTTTCAATATTTTATTACTTTTTCTATTATAACTGTTATGGTGCAATATCCTCGCACCACGGTTATAATCCAAAGGTTAGAACCCAGGAAGAACAACATGAACACAAGAGTAGAATAACAAAGATATATTACAACAGAAATATAGTACAAGAAGTTGAAGTTGTTAGTAATGACTGTCTGTCTGGTTTAGAGTGAACTAATATTGTCTCGACTCGTTACACCATTCATTCATTCGTTATACCTCTTGCGAGGTGCAGTATTTATAGTGTCAGGAAGAGTCCATTATCGTTATAGGTAAGTTCCCATAACAATAACACAAGATCATTTTATATCTTCCTCACTTATCTTCTTTTATATGCCACATCCCTTCAGGACATAGGCGATCATGGCTCTCCACAACTTCCTATTTCATGTGGCCCTTAGTAGTTTTTTTAACTTTGTTATGGCCCCTTTCCACCATCTGTTTACACAAGCTCATGAGGTAAGTTGCTCACCGCTTTCTGCTATTTCAATATGCCCCATAAGGGTTAAGTTTTCCAAGCCCTCATTATATGACCAAGGAATTTCGGCTACCTCTTCCTGCTTCTGAGCATTGTTGCCATTTCCTTTAAGACTTTATTGTTCCTTACTTGCTCCACCTATGGCATTCCCAGCATCCTTCTGTAGAACCACATTTTTACTACTTCTAATTTTTTCCTCATCTTTAGGAAAATTGTCCAGCATTCACTGCTGTGTAAGAGGATGGATACCACACAACAATCCCATACCCTTTTCTTTGTTTCTAACAAAATTATTCTGTTTCTCAGAACGTTGCTTAACTTTTGGAAAGCATCTTTCGTTAGTCTAATGCATGTTCGGGTCTTCATATTGCATTTTCCATCCCCCATTAAAACTTTTCCCAAATAATTAAACTACTGCGCCTGCTTGATGTTTATATCTCCAATTGGAAACTCACATCTCAGACTGTTTCTCTTGCTGATGACACCATACTTGCTTTAAATATAAGCATATTTATTATAATGTAACTGAATGGTTATAAAATCTTTTTTTTAATCAAATCATATACACTTAGTTTAACAGTATACTTTTAAAATCTCTGGTTACACTTGAAGATTTTATTTACTAATTTTATTTTTATTTATTTATTTTGTTTTTAATGGGAGTACATAGGTTCATTTATCACCCAGTTCACACTCCTCCCCATTCTTTTGAACAGGAGCAGAAGTTTATTTCTTGTTTCCTTTTGGGGTATTTAGAGGCCTTAATAAGAATGGCTATCATGACTTTTTGTTGATATGACTGGCCGGAGGCTATGTCTCTTTTAAAATGTTATTAACTCAAGACATTCTGATAGTGGTTTTATGGTGACTGCAGAAATTACCACTTTCAGAAAAGTTTCAATAATGGCCCAACCCTTAGCATTAGACATCTTGACTTTTTAAAATAAGACAAAGGCACATGCAACCAAAAATGTTTGCGCACTGCAAAACAGACAAAACAAGGACCTAATGAACCATTCATTAAATTTCTAAACCAGTATTTCTTAAAGTGGGTGATAACGCCCACCCCCACCCTCTTTGTAGGCTCTGTTATGTTAAAAGGGGGCACTGGGAGTTTTTTTTATTTCATTTGGAGGGTGGGGTGAACATACACAGGTGGTGGTGGGCATGTATCCATTTTTTTCAGATTTTCAAAAATCATTCAACATTGGCTACAAAAGGAAATTTCTGAAAAGTGCTGTGGAAAGCTATCAAATTTTTCTTCATTACTTTTTCAACTTCCTATATGGCTGAATGTGGTTTCAAAGCAGTTACAGAGCTTTTTACTAAACAAAGAAACCACCTGCAAAGAATGTGATTTACGATTACTTCCAAGAAGCATGGCACCTAGAGTACGAACCTATATATTTCTTCCTCAGGTGTTATAAATACAGTGCTCAATGTTATGTGACAGTCCTATTGTTGTGTCGGAAACCTACCACCCCTCTTGAAGATGAACTTGTCTGCGTCTGTGAACAAAGACTTTAAATAGTGGCATGTCAGTTGACATGGGGAAGATAGATAGACAGAGAAGTTCTTAGCTGAGCTAGTTATTGACTACTCGGGTGATTTCTGTACCTTTTTACCAACCTATTAAAACCCTTTTATTTTTACGTGTTATTTGGCGTTTGTCTCTACTAACCCCATCATAACACCTATAAATATATATTAGTAAATATACGTAATACCCAATTTCGATTGCACTACTTGGAGTTTCATGCAGTTCTCGCAATCTTCAGGTGCAAAACATATTCTGACAGTTATGGAGTTTGCATTTTTTGGTGATGGTTCAAAATTGTGTGATAAAACTTGTTTATTTAATTATTGTTGCCTAAAATATTCAAATTAATTATTAATAATTTATATCATAAGAGAGTTATCCCTTTCGTATTTTGTTTACATTTAAATTTAAATAATTTTTATAATTTTTTGCCTTTTTTTTGTTTTGGCTGCTCATTTCTTTTTTACACACCTCATTTCTTTTATCACTGCTCATTTCTTTTTTAGCGCTACTCATCTCTTTTTGGCATTACTCATCTCTTTTAGGACCTTTTATTTCTTTTTAGTGCTGCTCATTTCTTTTTTAGAACTACTCATATCTTTTTAGTACTACTCATATCTTTTTAGTACTACTCATATCTTTTTTTTAGAACAGCTCAATTCTTTTTAGTACTACTCATCTCTTTTTTAGAACTGCTCATTTTTTTAACTGCACATTTAATTCCTTCCACAGAATATGAGCATACCAGTGTTACCTGACCCAGGATTTGAACTCACAATTACTAAGACACTATATTCACAAACTAGGATTTTAATCCACTAGGCTAACAACAAAGAAATTAGTCCCACTGTAAATAATATAAATAGTAATAATTCCTGATTGCAAAAATTGATACCAAAATTTAAATTAATTTTTATGTTAGGCTATCTTACTTTATCTTCTATTTTTTTTATTTATACTAATTTTATATTCATGTATTTTTGCTTCTAGATTGCAAACACTGAATGTCAATACTTCCCAGATGAAAGAGCATCATTGTTAAAGAACAAGTTCTTGACATTGTGAGTGTATCTGCTTTATTTTCTTTCATTTATCTGTATATATAATTCTGTGACTTAATCCCTCAGTTCATTATCCCCTCTAAAATATTCATACATTGACTGATCAAAAACAAATTTTGCGGAGAAATGCAAACAGTTAAGGGTGGGGGGGTACAAAATACAGTTGGCTTTACTGGGGTGCATAGCTCAATACAATAAATTTTCATTAATTTTTTTTTGAAAAATTAAAAAAAATTTTATTTAACATACAATATATTTCCACTATTTTAAAAACAATTTAATGATTAAAATAACAAATCCTTATTTAATAAAAATGCAATATTGTTTGTTGCATATCTTTTCTTTAAGTTTTTATATATACAAGAATCCAGTTTCCAGTTCACACCGTGTTTGGAAGGACAGAACAAATCACAATGACAAATGCTTCAAAATGTTGGAATTTGACTCAGAAATAAATATTTCCACATGGTCAGTTGTATGTAGCATGCTCAAGAGTAAGAAATCCTAAGGATTTATTCTTTACTGTTAAAAAGGCAAAAAAGAAATTTTCTTAAAAAATATTGTTTACCATAAAGTTCTATTGAATTAAATAAATTATTAAACCACAAAATAGGGTTTTTGTCAAAGTATTTTTCCAAATGAATCAGATTATTCAAATTTCATTGATTAGTTTGAGAAATTGAATCTAGAGTTTGTAAATCTTGACAAAAAATGTTAGCAATAACTTCAACAATACTAAATACTGTGAGGATTTTATCACACATCAGCCTGTTGCAAAAAAAGTCCAGTAAAAGGAAATTTCCACATGGATTTATACAAATCCATTCTTGGTCATAGTGGGAACTTTTCAGCACCTCCTAATTTTCTATCTATCAGTCTCTCTCTCTCTCTCTCTCTCTCTCTATATATATATATATATATATATATATATATATATATATACTTAAAGTAGTGTAGAGAGGGTTGTGGTAATAAAATGCCACTCAAAGGCTGTGAGGATGCTTCCTCGATCACTATGAGGTTCTAGTCAAGCGTCAACCATTATCTATCCTACATATCCTCATAATATACACTTCTTACTTCCTCCTGTTATAACCTCACAGCAATCCTCTGTCTTAATTGGCTCTTGGGCCTCGTATTGGGTAAACACTAGTATTAAAAAATAATTCTTAAGCCCAGAACCATGTGTCACAGCACATGCAACACAATATTATCACTACATGATCTCCTGTTTGAAAAAAAAAGGTACCTCATGTGACAATAATTCATATCTCCTTTCAACACAAGAATATATCCCTTTTCAAAAAATGAGTCACCATGGCTACAAACTGATGACACCCACAACAAACTATTAACCTGATGCCATTATATATATATATATATATATATATATATATTGTAAATAATCATTGGGATATTCTAATTGTGTATAATTGTTATTTTTATTTTATATTTGTTCATATCCTATATATATGTAAACTGTACATATAGGCCTGGTTAGGAGTTCATAGATAAATTGGTATTTTGGTGAATGTCATTTAAATGTGAATTGTAAACATGAATTTTTGGTGAAAGGCAACATTTTTGAGTGAACATCTCCATTTTAAGCCTTGTGCCACATTTTCTGTACATGTAGAAATATGCTTTTCCACCATTGTTAACAGGGGTCCATGCTCATCTTTACAGTGGCTTATTATACGGAGAAGTCTGTTATCTGAACTGCATTTTTTCAGTAGTCTGTAGGCCAATGCACCATCAGCAACTGTCATACGATTTTGTATGTTACAAAGGATCTGTATTTAAAATCCAAGAATCCATTAGTTAAGTCTAGTATAATGGTAATTATTGAACTGACTTCACTCAAAATGATCTATAAGACTATCATTTCCATTCTTTCTGTAATCGAGTCATACAACCCAATCATGTTTCTTCTCCATTCCTCTCTGCCCAAGATAAGTAGCCATAGTTCTGCAGCTGTTTTCTGTGTGATGTTCTTTGTTTTATGTAGAATACTGGGTGGGGGTGGGATCTTCCTGTTTTCACTATGCTCTTCTTGATAGAAAGTGAATCTTGATACAAGGTTTTTGGTTGCCCCCCCCCCTTGTACAAAATCCTAACAATTCTAGTTGTTGTTTGTAAAGATTGTTAATCAATGATTGTCTGTTGGCCTTTTGCCAGATGTCCTCACAAGTCAAAATGTCAAATTTCATGTCATTTCAATTATGACAGCTACTACCACCCACTGAAACTATTTCCCAATGTTTTTGGTTGTTAGGGCTTTTTGTTGTTTTGTGGGTTTGTTGTGCTTCTTTTTGATGTTTTCAGTGGGTTTTTTTTGTGTATGTATTTCTTTAAGAGTTTTTTTGTTCTTTTGTGTGAATGTTTTTGAAGAAATTTTTTTTTGGGGGGTGTGTATGTATTTCTTTAAGAGGATTTTGTTAGTCTGTGTGTGTCTTTTTGAAGGAGTTTTTTGGGGGGTTTTGTGTATGTATTTCTTTAAGAGTTTTTTGTTAGTCTGTGTGTGTCTGTTTTTGGAGGAGTTTTTGGGGGGTTTTTTGTGTATGTATTTCTTTAAGAGGTTTTTGTTTTGTGTGTGTCTGTTTTTGAAGGAATTTTGGGGGGTGGGGGTGTTGTGTATGTATTCCTTTAAGAGTTTTTTGTTAGTCTGTGTGTGTCTTTTTGGAGGAGTTTTTGTGGGGGGTTTTGTGTATGTATTTCTTTTAAAAGTTTTTTGTTAGTCTGTGTGTGTCTGTTTTTGGAGGATTTTTTTTTGTTTTCGTGTGCATGTTTTTGGATGAGGTTTTTGTTTTTGTGTACATATTATGGCAGGAGTTTTTGTGTGTCTTTTTGAAAGAGATTTTTCTTTGTGTGTTTTTGGTGGAATTTTCTCTGTGTGTGTGTCTATGTTTTGAAGAAGTGTTTTTATTTTCTGGTAGGGGGGTGTATTTGAGGAACTGTTATCTTTATTTTTTTGAGTTATGTTTTTTATTTTGTGCATTTTTGGAAGAATTTCTTTTTAGAGGAGTGATGTATTTTTTTTGTTTTGTTTTTTTTGGTATGCATTTTGTACTTGTTTTCTACCTCACAAAGGCACACCATGGTTTGATCTTTTTTTATCATTGTCATTTTTATCTTGGAGAATTCCAGTACCCAAAACAGCACAGAATAAAACTCAAGGATGTCTTTTATGATGAATCACCCAAAAATAGCCTTCAGATATCTGGATGGATCTCTGGTTTTATATCTTGCAGTTCAATGCAGAGGTGGTGCTTGAACCATAGCTCTCCAATCTAGTTTCTATTTTTAAATGTCTTGGAAAATAAAACACTGCCAGCCAAATAAAGCAAATGTAACATTTGTTTATTCTCTAATTGTCAATTATTGATATTCATTTATTTATTTTTCAGAACATTCCGGAATTTAATTAGACCACACACAGTTACAAGAATGACTCCCTTATGCATCAATGATGTTTCTCACCAACTTACCAGTACTTATCCACCTCTCGTATCTCCCCGTTATGGTACCACATGCAACAGTTTCCTTACAAAAGCAGAGATTCACAATTCGCCTTGAAAAATAATAATTCAGAAGAATTTGTTGGAAGAAGAACTACAGAAAATTGTTATTTTTAATTATTTATTTATAATTTTTTATAAAATTTTTTGGCAATTTTTAATGAGATTTAACAAGAAAGAAATTCTTCAAAGCTTGGAGAAATCTGGACTAAACTAAAAGAATGCTGATTCCAATGAAAATGGACATAAAAAAACTCAAAGCAAAAATATTTTCAACGTTTTATGTTTTTTTTTTCTTTGTCTGAATATTTTCAATACCATTTCTTTGTACATTTTGTTGACATTTGTTTTATACATATAGTCATCTCTTTCATTTTCTAATAGAGGGTTTTTTTAGTTTTACTATATTTTTTTAGTTTGTGTTTTTCTTTTAGATTTTTTATTTTCCCTTTCTACATTAATTTTGTCTTTTATTATTTTGTTATTTTTTTTCATCTCCATTTCCCATTTTTTTTCATTTTCTTTTCCTGTTTTTTTTTTCATTTTCTTTTTCCATTTTTTCATTTACTTTCTCTGGTTTTTTTTTTTCATTTACTTTTTCCATTTATTTTTTTTTCCATTTTTTATTTTGTTATAAATTTCAAATTCTTTCATATTCATTTGTTTCATACACACACATTTATGCCTTTCATTTTCTAACAGTGGGATTTGGGGGTTTTACATTTTTTTTTTAATTTTCTTTATCATTTTGTTTTTTGGGTTTTTTTTCACTTTTTGGTTTAATTTTTTTAATTAAATTTTTATTTACTTCTAATTTTGTTCATTAATTATGTCAGTTTTATTTTATTTTTAATAATTTTGTTTTGTCATTTTATATTTTTTCCATTTTATTTTTTTCCCATTTTTTTCTTTTTCCATTTTATTTTTTTCCATATTTTTTTTTTTTTCCATTTTATAATTTTCCAATTCTTTCATAAACTTTTTTTTTTTGCTTTTTAACATATTTCTGAAATTTCTTCCTCAGACAGGGAATGTGATATTTTTTAATCAGAATTTCTTTTTAAACATTTTTTTTAAAATATACATTAATCAGTTTTTCATAATTTCATTATTTTCTTTTTTAATGATAATGACTGCCTCCACCAATATTTTTTTAAATCATCGTCTGTTTCACACTCCATTATGATAATTTCTTTCATATTTGTTTCTCAATATTTCAATTTTTATCTTATGTTGTAAAAATTCCAAAACAGATTAAACATTCAAAATTATGTTTCACCATGCAAAAGAAGATCATTTCAAATATCCACTTTTTTCTTCCTGCTATTAAAACTTGTTTTTGCCGCCAACGATTTGCAAATAAACATTTTATCTTCAAAAGATGACCCTTAGATTATAATTAACAATGTCAGCTCCTGGCCAAATCACCAGTCCTTGTACGAGCACTAAAGTTAAGCAATGTCAAGCCGGGTTAGTACCCAGTTTGGGAATGCCAAGTGCTTAGAGCTTTGATGAACAGGTGATGAAATGGATTATGACTCAGAATTATAGATTGGAGAGCAGAGGTTCAATTTCAGTTGTGGTCATTATATTCGCATACAAGCAAAGGTATGACCCCCACCTCTTCTACCACCCCCACCCCCAGCTATGTGTTAATTAGCAGGACTTGTATCAGTAAATCATTATTATCTCCCAGAAATTCTGACAGTCTAAAAATATTTTCTGGCTTTTTACAACGTGTAAAAAGCCAGATAAATAAAAAAAAATAAATAAATATAATTAAAAATTTCAATGCAGCTTACCTCTCTAATTAAACCAGTTTATTCTTTATTATTCTTAATTACTTTTCTGTGACAATGACTCCCAAAATCTATGATTTCAACCTGATCCCACAGAGGGTGGTGATCTCCTTTTTCTCTCCATATGTGGTCAGCCACGCCTGATTTTTCCACTTCCCCTCGTACTACAGCTTTTTGGTGTCCTTGAAGCCTTACCTTAAGGGGGCAGCCTGTCTCCCCCTTATATTCCGGACGAAATGTTGTGATAAATATGACAACAAAGATGAGGACGATAGTCTGAACAATGTAAATAGTGTACATAATACCTCATCTTAGAAATATAAACAGAACTTATTTCTATCTAAAAAAAAATGCTACACTTATGAAAAACGAAAGTAAATTTACTTAGATGGAAAGTTCTTGAGTGCTACTATCAAATCTTTCCAAATTATAAATCTGCACCCTGAATTTTTTCAAATATCTCCTTTCCTAAAAGCCAACATACATGACTATACAATTTTTTGAAAATTAAAAGAAAATGGTTAAATCAAAACCTTCTGTTATTTAAAATATTTCAAATAAACAATTTGTCAAATTAAAATAATAATTACATGAAAAAATAAATAAATATATATAAACAAATTAAAAAGAAGTGGCTTCCACTGGAGTTTCTGAAGTTTGAATTTTTTTTTTTTAATCATTTCACTCCCAAGCAAGGTGATAAAGCCACTAAGATGCAAGTAGAGTGAAAGAAACTGAGAAAACAATGATGATTAATGTTGTGTTTAAAGTTTTGAAGGCCATAGTTGACAGGAAAGCAAGAAGCCAGAAGAGTGTTCCACAGCTGAGAAGTTTAAATAAAGAAACTATTAGAAGATAACTTCTAGGAATTTCCACAGTGAAATATTGAAACCTAGTTGCTAATCTAGTACTGCACTTAAAGTTGATATGGTCAAGGTACCAAAGAAGGAAGCATATCAAAACAATTATGATAATGATAGGGAAAGTGACTGAAACTGAGTTGTCAGGTCAGGGCCGATAACATTGCAGATTCTTCTTTGGATTTTATCAAGAATCTCTTATAGCAGGAGTACCAGGCCAGATGTGGCAGTAATATTCAATGTATGGATGATTAGTTGACTTATAAAGGTGAAAAATAGATTCTGTTGATAAAAATTGTCTAGCAGAGATCCAAATTTCCTAGCTACATATATAGCAATTGATTCAATATAATCGTTCTACTTCGTTTCGGTGGAAAAATTTAGATTGAGAAGATACAATATATTTTTCTTAAGTTACCAGTTCTTGTCTTCAGTTTTGTTTCTCGTGTAAAATTTTGGCTAGTGCCTATGAAAGGCTGAAGAATACCACTTCAAAATGGATGTGCCAAAAAAAAAAAAATCCATGCAGTAGTCTGAAAAATGAATAATAAACAGACACTTGTATATATTGTTTGGGATTAACTGCAAAATATATTCCCACAAAACAAAAAACACCACAAGCCTCTACTCTATGGCAAATGTTCTACATACCTTAGTTCCACCAATTCTGACCCTCACTGCTAAGAACCACCATGCCATATACACTGGCATGGATCATCCCCATTACCTTCTTATCCCATTAGTAAGAATGAAATTTCCACTTGGACAACTTCTTCCTAAGAACCACTGTTCTGTGAAACAAACTCCCAAGAGGATACTTTCCTGATCACTACAATCTTAACCTAATGTTAACTGTTATCTTTCCTACATATCCTCATAAACTACACTTCTCACCCTTTTTTTTCACCCATACAATAACCCTCTACTTTTGGTGGCACTTGGGTCTTCTATTAGGTGAACATTAGTAAAAAAAAAAAAAAAAAATAGCAGTGTGACATATTAATTCCCAAAATGATATCTGGGCCATTAAATCAGGCAAAGACAGGTCAGATGAGGCGTTCATTGCCGAGCAGTAGAGGAAGTTGTATGTGTTCATGTTATACTGTGGGCAGAAAATGAGTGAAAAGAATCTGGAATAGTGGATTAACATTAAGTTGAAAACATTACCCCTATTAAAAAGGGCTTATGGTGTACATGCTATGAAGAAATTAAGTGTTTTTTTTAGTGGCATAGGCAATTAAAGGAAAAACAAGAAGATGGGCATGTTGATGCAAGAAATTGTCATCTACAGTGGTCAAGTGCAAATGTGGACAGTGTGTGAACATTGGTGTGCTCAGAATGAATATTAAATGTACAACTGATATTTTATGATGTTTTATATATACCAGGTGTAACAACAAAATTGTCCAATTATTAGTTTTAATTTTGAACCATTGTATCTTAGAAATGATTAAAGATATCTTACTGGAATTCTCCAAGGTTTCATAACACCATTGGTCTCTACTTTGAGCAATAAGAATGTATAATTACTCTCCAAGCATAAGAGAAGAATCATAAATGAAAATGACATATTCAGCATTAATTAATCATAACTAAGAATGAGAAGCTCATGAAGTATTGAAATAAAGTACAAATATATATATATATATATATTTCCAGGATCATTTTCCAACTTATTGAAGATGATCTTCGCCCTCTAACCTCTTAATCTCGGGTAACAAGTTGCCTCACAGGTTCCACATACAGTTTCAATTTCAAGTCTTTTTTTCACTGCTCTTTAGACTGTCATAGCTGAAACTCCTGTTTCATGTGACAAACATCTTATGGATTAAGTTGGGTCTTTTATAATTGACCTCTTTAACTCAAAGTTGAAATGATGATCCCTCTTCCTGTTGTGACCTCCTGATCCAGTTTTTGTCTCTACTGTTCCCTCTTTTTTAAACTTATTCACCAATCTCTTGATGGTTCTTGAATGAACTTTGAAGATGAAAGCCAAAGTATGAATGTTGGTACAATTACTGAAGGCCTGAATGATCTTTTTTCTCTCAACATTGTTCATTTGGGAAGAGAGTGGGTCTGACACATAACGATTTTAACCTCTTCTCTTTCTAGCTAAATAACTCAAAGGGTTTTTCAGTGATTCTTACGACAAATGGTGTCAAGATGGCTAAACGTCTTATCTGAAAACCTGCAAAAAAAAACTCAGTTCAATTTTTTTTTTTTTTAAGATATTAAACATTTTGTGGGATAAGCAATTTTACTGTTACACACACACACAAAGTGTAGATGTCAAAAGTATATTTTTTATGTTTTTTATTTTGTTGACGTGTGGGACACAAAGTTCTTTGGAAATCTATTATAGTCCTTGGGATCCAAACAAAATCTTTTAATGTATATAC